TCGTCCTGGCTTCATTCTGGCATCATTCCGGCATCATTCCAGCATCATTCCGGCATCAATCCAGCATCAATCCGGCATCCAGCATCATTCTGGCATTAATCCAGCATCATTCTGGCATCATTCTGGCATCATTCTGGCATCATTCTGGCATCAATCCAGCATTAATCCAGCATCATTCTGGCATCAATCCAGCATTAATCCAGCATCATCCTGGCATCGCCCTGGCATCATTCTGGCATTACCCTGGCATCATTCTGGCATCATTCTGGCATCATTCTGGCATCATCCTGGCTTCATTCTGGCATCATCCTGGCTTCATTCTGGCATCATTCTGGCATCATTCCGGCATCATTCCAGCATCATTCCAGCATCAATCCAGCATTAATCCAGCATCATTCTGGCATCATTCCAGCATCATTCTGGCATCAATCCAGCATTAATCCAGCATCATTCTGGCATCAATCCAGCATTAATCCAGCATCATTCTGGCATCATTCCAGCATCATTCTGGCATCAATCCAGCATTAATCCAGCATCATTCTGGCATCATTCCGGCATCATTCTGGCATCATTCTGGCATTCTGGCATCAATCCAGCATCATTCTGGCTCAGTTTAACAAGCACAAGGGTTATCTCCATCGAAAACAAACTTGCGAAAAACACTGAATTTGTTTTTTGTGATTGTTGCTAATATATATGGTAAATGTTTTTTTTGCAGACGAAGATGGTGACATTTGCAATTCAGAATGTACAAATGTCGGTTGCTGGGGCCCACGAGCTGACGAATGCTTAACATGTAAAAACTATAAACTAGGAGAGGAGTGTGTAGAGCGCTGTGAGTTAGATAATGGGTAAGTGTTTATAGTGTTATTATTGAAATACAATAACATAACATGAAATTTTATGACATTTTTAGCTTAAAGAGATCGATATTTATGTACACCAACCCAATTGGCTGCTATTGACCAATACTTGGGATTATCAATGAGTTAGTTCACTTCTGCTGTCAGTTATGGTTGTTGCATTCATGTTTGTCAGACAAATCAGGTCAGACATTAGCATTTTATACATCCAACTATTACTCCAAATTTCACTGATAAAATCAATAATACTTTTTGCTCTTTTATAGTAGCACATATGTTTACACCACAAATTAAGAGGTGTGTCTATGATCTGATTTCAATGATTCAGCATATGATACATGCAATCTTTGGTTTGAATGCACTTGTAGTGATTAATATTTTGATAATGCTGTGTGAATACATTACTTATTATTGTTATTCTGTTAGGCAATATATGGTTTCTGACAGACAATGTGACTATTGCCATGAAGAATGCTTTGAATCCTGCTCCTGGTCGGTAAGTGTGTATTTTCTCCTTAAGTGCTGCACATTTCACAAGTCTTCCTGGTGTGTTATTGGTGGAATGTACCTTTAAATCTTCATTGCACTTTGAAGTAAATTCACATTATGAGTGAAACTCTCATTCCTTGTCGTGTTAATGGATTATTTCTGTATTGCAGGGGGCAGAGAACTGTTCAGCTTGTCTTAACGTCAAAGATGGACCATTCTGTAAATCTGAATGTCCTACTGCCAAGTATGCAGATCAGGATAATTATTGTCAGTTATGTCATGAAAACTGTAAAATAGAAGGTCCTAATTCTGGGTAAGGATTATCAAGGTCAATGCATAAAAAATGCTGATTTTAGACATCAGACAGAAACCTCAATTTTATTCTTTCAAATACATGCGTTAAATATAGATCATGCACATGCCGAGTTTCGGTCCCGAGCATTTATCGGGACCGAGATCGAGTTCTGTTCAGCATGTGCCGATTCGGTCCCGACCGTTCACACACAGGTTTCGGCACTTGCCGACTCGGTCCCGAGTCTCGGCACTTGCCGACTCGGTCCCGAGTCTCGGCACTTGCCGACTCGGTCCCGAGTCTCGGCACATGCCGAGATCTCTAACGTGAACGCCACTATTGTTTTGCTAGACCTCAAAAGTGTATTGGAATAGACATTGGATATTGACAAACTACTCCATTCCCAGGTGCACTGGTCCAGGAAATTCAATTGGTGGTGACAGTTGCCGCTCCTGTTCCCAAGTTTTATTGAATAAAGACGGGAATTTAGTGGAATGTATGACACCAAATAGTGCATGTCCTGATAGACACTTTGAAGACTATCACATCGCTGGAACATTCATAGATTCACATGTAAGTAATCAAACTGACCAATCATATTGCTACAATTGAAACAGTTCAACCAATCAGTTTTTGAGATTCATAACTTACCAGGTGCATCAAACAATTTATTGTCTATGTGAATGCTATGTTAATGTTTCATGTAAGGCTAAATTCTGAGATGATTTATTTTTTCAGGTTTGCCAAGCTTGCCATGAGGAGTGTTTATCTTGTAACGACAAAGGACCTTATAGTTGCACGAAATGTGTTCATGTGCGGTACAGTAACGTTTGTATGCTGGATTGTCCACCTGGCTATTTCGCAGATGATCAGAAGATTTGTCAAATGTGTAATGAAGAATGCAAAGAAGGTTGCTCTGGGAGTGATCCCACAGACTGCAATGATTGTAAAAACTACAAAATTCCAATGAACGATAACTATCAAGAAGTCAATACTACAGTTGTAAGTTAATAATAATATAAAATAATAATGATGATGATGAAAAAATAATATTTATTAATCCACTGTTTCCTGTATGGGAAGTTTGGGATGAATTTCATCTTTGCTTATGCATGTGGTATAAAAAATTTCCCACATAATTACAATGTATCATATATCAAATTTTATTCTTTTCCTGTTTTTAGTTTTCCTGTGTTGCTGAGTGTCCAGTTAACAAGCCCTTCATTATGGATGAAAATATTTGTGTGAGCAACTGTACTGGAAATACCTTTTCAAATTCTAAAAAGCACTGCCAGTCCTGTCACGATGAATGTCTTAATGGATGTTATGATGACCAGCGCTCATCATGTTTTGAGTGTAAGCATTTGAGAGCAGATAATGGTGATTGTGTGCTGGATTGCCGACCTAATGAGGAGGAATCTAACGGAATATGTATCTCAATAGGAAGTCCATCAACAGGGGCAAGACCGTGAGTAATATTACTTATCTTTAGCGTAATCAGGACTGTAATTACCAACTACATATTTGCTCTACATCTCAAATTGATGCATTATCTGAAAATAGCATTTGTTTTATTCTGAATTATTTATACTGGTATGTTACTTATTTTGACCATCAAATCACCTCTGTAATTTATGTAATTGCATATATTACTAGTTGTTTTTATATATATATATATATATATATATATATATATATATATATATATATATATGACAAACTGATAAATCTTGGACTTTCACTTTTTTGGCATAAAATGTGGTCACAATATCAGCATGTCTCAACAGTTAACACATAAATTATTCAAAATACTAACTCTGACATCTTGACAGGAGTCATTCACGTGTGATTGTGTCATGTATATTTGCATGCAGGTTTGTATGGCATTCTCTCTGAAAGTGGAAGACGGCTATAATACACTGTTTTCAACGAAATCACAAAATCCGTTATTTGAATCAATCTTGTTAGTAGTGTCAATCCTCCAAATATCTATGGCTGAAAATTAAAGATTTGAATCAATAAAAAAGCAATACTGATAGACAGATAAAAATGCTATACTTGAATACTCACACTTGCATATTGTTGCTTATATTTGCATATAGTTTGCATATTGCACTAACATTTGCATACTACATTTGTTAGTTTTTTGTGTGTTTTCATTTCATTAAATTCATAATAACTATGTTCCATCTAATGTTGTTTCCCTTCTCTAAGGGTCAGCAGTACACCTATCATCATTGGTTGTCTTGTGGGATTCAGTTTGCTGCTCATTTTGATTTTCTTCGTCATCTGGTATTTTCGAAGACAAAGAAATATGGACGAAAGGAGGCGAAGTTACCTCGAATACACTGATTATGTAAGTTTAAAGAGTTTTACCAAGTTTTATTTATTTTTATTTTTGTAAATTTTGAGTAAGCCATGGAAATGGCTGCGTCTCTCAAGTGAGAAATACTATTTATTTTTATCTGAAAAATACTTTCCTATTGTCTTGATTTCAGATCACTACTGATTTCTCTCTTGATTCCAGTATGCATGATGAATTTGACAAGCGCCCTCTTTGACACACTTTAACATATACTTTGTTTACATTCATTTAACCACTAAATGCGCTGATATTGTCTATGAATTCTGCATGTTATTTCAAGATGTTAATGTGCTTGAATTCAACTTGTACTGTTCATACTGCTTTCTTATCTGCTGTTTGTAATTTATTCTAATTGTTGGTTGTAATTTATTCTAATTGTTGGTTGTTATTTTTTTTTGTATGCATGGTGTTACTGTAGAATTTGGATACATTCACAGAGGTAATTGTTGCTTTATGTGTGTCATTTTTTTAAAGAGATTTTGATAATATTTTAAAGAAATTTTTTTGTGTACATGTGATATGAATTGAAAGTACAAAATAGCATGGTTTATGTACCAAGCTTTTCTGCTGC